AAATGTTCTGTATGAGGTTCAGTGTTATGTTTTTAAAGAATAATAAAACGGAAAGAAATATCTTTTAAAAGAACAAAGATGGCAGTTTTGAAATGAAAAAACTATTTAAAACAAATACAAAATATATTTTAAGAATACATTTTTATAATCACATATAGCTAAACCAGAGATTTCAAATTAAATTGGTTTTAAGCAAATTTATTTGGAAATATATATATTTCATTTGAATATATATATATATATATATTCCTGTTACTGTGAATCTTTCTAAATAAATATTAAGGCTACATGCTCAATAAAAAAAAATCACTATTCAGAACTGGCATAATTTTCAGGTTGATTATATGGTTCAAATTGAAAACCATAAACTGAAACTATTTCTAATAAATATTTAAGGATTATAAAAATATTTTTATAATTTCTCCTTCATTTAATATATTAACTTACTATATTTTAGTGCTGAAACCTGATAATACTTTTGAAGTATTAATTGACCAAGCAGTTGTCAGCAAGGGAAATCTCCTAGAAGACATGATTCCACCTATAAACCCACCAAAAGAAATAGAAGATCCTAATGATAAGAAGCCTGAAGATTGGGATGAGAGACCTAAAATACCTGATCCTGATGCTGTAAAGCCAGATGACTGGTAAAGAGTATATATAATTGCTCCCTCCTCCCCCTTTTGATGGTTTACTACTGTCTCTCATTTACATATAAGTGGATTTTTAGCCTACCTACTTACCTATCTACCTACATACAGCAATATTCTAAAAGCCATAGTTATCAGCAGCTATGCTTACAAATAATATTCTCTACTTATCATCATTGTTGATCAACCAAGGCTTTCACTTAGTGCTTTTTAGCAAAATAAAGAAAGCCTAGATTAACAGTCTTTAATAAGACTGCATGTTTGTCCACATGCAAAGATTTGCAGTTGTAATATTGGGGTAGCAGTATTCTTTTGATTCACTTCTATAATAAAAGGACTTAAAATATATAAAATATTATTATGCAAATATAGAAAAATATATTTCATATCCATACCTTTTTTCTGGAGGAACAAATGTACTCATATTAGTAAAGTATCTTGCTGCTCTTTTATGTATTTTGTGATAAAATTGGTTTGTAATTTTAAGGAATGAAGAGGAGCCTCCAAACATAGAAGATCCTGATGCTGTTAAACCTGAAGGATGGCTTGATAATGAACCTGAATACATTCCAGATCCAAATGCAGAAAAACCAGAAGACTGGTAATTATTACTGTAACAGATTAGATTG